TGGAGATCTTCTTCCTTCTTCTTCTTCTAAAATTTTATCTCCACTCCTAAATTTTTCAAACCATCACGCAGTGAGCTGGTCAAGGACATCTTCACCTTCATATTTAATAATTTTATGAGTTGCTTCAGTGAAATTTTTTTTTCAGTAATACTTTAAAATTACGAGAATTTCGTAGAACGCTGTCATATTTCTTATTTGAAACAAATAACTAAACTGAGGATTTTTTTGGAGAAGCCGAATGGAATTAAAGAAGCTTTGAGAATGCTCTAAAAGATTATTAAGTATTGGTAATTATTAAATAGGATTAAAATATTTACAGTCCTTTGTCCTTTGTATCAACATTAATGTATCAATATCCTGGAGCAGTTGATGTCACATATTGAGCGACTAATTTATCTCACACCATTGTAATCTCTTTATTGTGATAAAATGGTTTATTTCAATTAACCAATTGTTCGGTAAATCAGTAAATCTTTTTATTTCTAGTTGGTCTAAGGTGCCTAATGTGCATTTTCAACCAATTTAACTAATAAATAGCTTTTCTTATCGCAAGGTAAAAGTTCCCAACTAGTTTATACCTATCCATTATTTTTTTTTTAAATTAAGAGAGATAATAGCCCAAGTTGGGCAAAGAACAAAATCTTAGTTTTATAATAAGTTTAAGATTACTTTTGTTTAGTATCTGTTATAAAATAAATTCAAATATAATGTATTAACAAATTATTTTGCATGATTACTTTCTTGCGTACATCTCTGTCAACTATAGGAAAATCCCAACTCAAAAAGCGACAAATATAGGAGCAACAAAATTTGTCTATTAATTTCCATTTTTGTTTTACTTTGGATGTACGTTTCTTCTATTTTAATAGGTAGTTTAAAAGCTGGGAAGTAGTTCTATAAGAAAAAACCAAAATAAATACAATGTTATCACAATTCAAACTGTAGCACCTAAAAAGAAATTTCCTTAAGCATGTCAGTTACTGGTGCATTTACCTAAATTCTTGTTTGTTTTATTATCTTATATTAAATATTACTATTTCTACTTCTGTTAATTTATTTATTGATAGACTTAAATTTAATATATTTCACACATGTATTTATTTTTATTGGAATCATCTAATTATTTTTTTAATTAAACACAATTTATACATTTTTTGGAATTTTCTCTTTCCTTCACATAATTCTCCTCTCTCTCACTCCATTAACTTAAATTTCTAAAATTCTAACTACTAAACTAAAAGGTTGTAAGATGGCATATTTTCACATTTTCTTAGTGACTTTACAAACAAATCTATATAAAAACAATTGTTTTCCACCATTTCAACTACTGAAAGTTTGAACATCATAATTTCCCTACTTTCTGATAATTACTCCTACATGGTATGAATGAATACTTAGAGCACCAATACAATTTGGTTTTGACAAAACTAATTGACTAACTAAAACTATAGTTGGAAGAAATCAAATCCTTTTTCTTAAAAAATTGGAGAGTTGAAAACAGACGTTGCATTTGATACCTTCACCAAATAGTAGGTGGATCACCCAACTTAATGTAAGATGAAACACTCTTAATTATTATATATAATATTGTTATAATAATATTTATATTACACGCAATAATTAGTTTGAATGATGATATAAATACATTATGTAGTAAGAAATACATCAATACTTCAAAAGAGGTCTTTTTAGAAGTAATAAAATAAAATTAGCAAGCTATGTAAGCCTTAATACATATTAATTATTGAAAAAATAAAAAAGATGTTTTTAAAATATGACCATAGAAATATAAAATTTTGAGTTTTTAATAATAATCAATAAATATTTTTTTCCTGATATCAATGGCAGATTTACTTATATGGATATCAAGCACTTTTAAGCAACTTACAGCAGCAGCAAAAAGTGAATGCATTTTTTTTTTTTACATTTACACTAATTTTAAATATTATTTATTTGTTTTTTATTGTTGCCTCTACCCTGCAGGGTCATTGGCAACACTTCCTATTTATATTCTATTGTAGAACTTTATTATTTTTAAAAACTGTCAGGTTTTTTCCACGGCGTTTTCGTTGTCGCTGAGGTTTTCTTTTAAGCTCTGAGCCATATCGAGATTTTTCCTTACATTCTCAAATACTGGTCAGTCTTGAATGATGTGTTGGACAGTTCTTTGCACCTTACAGCTCTCGCAAGTCGGTGGGTCTAGTCCTCTTAGTAAGTAGGCATGTGAAAACTCACAATGCCCAATTCTTAAGTGGCAGAGGACTGTCTCTTCTTTTCTAAAGAGTCGGTTGCTAGTTTTCCATTTGGAACAGTGGCTTTTTATTCCTTTTAATTTGGTTTCTTTTTGTTGCCATACGTTCTGCCACATTACCCGCAATTTTTTTTTTATATGATGTATGAAATCTTTTATCGGGATTTCTTTGATTATAACTGTTGGATTTCTATCTAGCCTTCTCGCCATATTTGCTGCTTTGTCTGCCTGTTCGTTTCCGACAATTCCGCAGTGTGAAGGAACCTACATGAATACTATTTCCTTTCCCTTTTCTGTCAGTTTCCACCAGATATTTTTAATAGATCTTGCCAGTGTAGTTGTCGGTGTTCTCTTTTCAATGGCAAGGATTGCGCTCTTTGAATCCGTTACCACGACTCATTTGTTACTCTCCGTTGAATCAATGTAAGTCAAAGCTTCTCTAATAGCGATCATCTCTCCACTAAATACAGAGCAGATCTCCGGAAGTTTGAAGTAGTTTTCTATTTGAGAGTTGACAATAGCACATCCTATTTCATCGTTTACTTTTGAAGCATCAGTATAAATGATATTTCATTTTTTATGCTTTTCTATTATTTCCAGAAATAGGGTTTGTGCTTCGATAGGAAGTAGCGTATCTTTTCGAGAGCCAGCCATCGAGTTCTCTATAACTGGCGAGGTATGAATCCAAGGGGGGAAAATAATGTCCGGCACATCCAAAAGAGATTCTAACTTTGATTCTGAGACATTTTCAAGAAATGTTTCTACGAAATGCTTTCCCCAGCTGTTGTCTGATTCTTCCCGAAACAGTATTTTATTTAATGTATGTTTTGGGCGTGTCTTAATTTTGAGACCGTACTTTAGGGTTAGATACAACCTTCTCAGATAGAGAGGAGGTTCATCTGCTTCAACATATAGACTTTATACTGGGGAGGTTGCCAATGCTCCAGTACAAATTCTTAGAGCACAATTGTGCACAACATCTAACATCATTAAACTTTTCTTTGATGCTGTACCGTAAACACTTATTTAAATATTAAAACAGCTCAATTAATCACAAATAACTATAATAATTACCAATCACTTAATTAACAATAGCTTAGTTTCTAATTATAAAGCCAAGATTGTTTTTGGAGATAAGAGAAGTTGAAATCTATCATGCCCATAAAAAATATCAAAAAATTCCATAATAAATCCAATCCTGGCTAATATGGAATATAAAAAAGAAAATAAAGAAAATTTTACATATAACATTTTTTATTATTTGTTGTGCAATATTTTGTTGTTTAATATAAAGAGCTTGAAAATGAACAAATAGCCCAAAAGAAATTTAATTCATCTAACAATTGAATGAAATATAAAAGGGTTGACATTTTATTCAAGAAAATGTAATAATTACAAAATATATCGAACATCTAGAAAAAATTGATCATAATGCCAACAAATATTTTTGTAAATAAGCCACAGACTAAGTTCTACCATATAAGCCTTCATAATGTTTCTTTTAATCTGGTAGGTAATTCAGTCTATGGGTGTGGCCAGGTATTTGAGTGTTGGTGTCACTTAGTGATGAGAATGGTCCAGCCATTGAAATTTTTAAGGTGATAAATTTTGAATTGTGATTCTATCATTCTGAATGGGTGATCTGTTTATTCAGTGATTCTGTAAAACTTTACATTTACCAATTTACTTCTACTTTAAACAAAATCAACCCTCACTACCACAGTTAAACCAGCACTACTTCTGACTCTCAACAGACTCGGTTTCCAGAACCACTATTTGGTAATCTTGGTTTTCATTTTCTAATTAGATAAGTTATTCTTCTTTAGATTGTTTACTTTTTTTTCTTGTTATATTATGACCATTAAAGAGGTTAAAATTAAGAAATTGTCACCATATTTTAAGTTAACTTTTTCTTTAGTTTCTTGCACAGTTAATTTTCATTAGTTCAATACCTTGTTAATCTTATAAAGTTTCCAGGTGCAGAATAGCTGAAATCAGATCAGTTAGATTCAATCCTAGGCCTAGGGGATTATCTTTCTAGTACCTAAGTCATTGAGGTGTCCTGTTTTTTTTTAATCTAAATACATATGTGGAGTTATGAGCTGATTGAGTAAATATAGCTAACATAAATATTTAAAAAACAGATATGTGAATAAAAATGAAAACCTGTACATGCAAAAATACATAATTTAAATTAATAAAATATAATTTATGAGGATATAATTTATAATGGTTACTCCGTTATACATATTTTAACCACTATATTATAATATATAATAATTTATTATAGCAAATATTGATTGGGAGTGTTATTAGGTAGTTTAAACCAATATTAGCTAACACCAGAAAAAGATAGATACATGTAATAATCCATAATTTCTCATGAATGAGTTGGCCAAGAATATGGACATCAGTATGAACACAAGATGATTTTTTTTTTTTTAATGGTTTTGTTCAGTTTTGGCTTTTACACATATAACTGTTTTTAACTTGAGCGAAAAGGTAATTAAAAGAATGTTTGGTTTCAACGCCCCCCCCCCTCTGATGAGATCGTGACTAGGTATGATATTTCCTTTGAAAAAGTTTTAAAATGTATAAATTTATAATTTAGACTGCCCTAACGTACTCGTAAGAAAAAAATTGAAAGTTTTTTTAATAATACAATCAAGCACTTAATATCGATAGTTATATCATCCTATATAATTGTTTTATTTGATTGCAATTTGTTGTAACCTTCCACGTATTCGGTGTTTAAAGTAAATTCTGCCACCGGATTGTTTCGCTGTGTGTACTTAGTTGTCTCTTCATTTATCGTCGTGGAATCGCATACAAAGTTGATATATTAATTTTTTCAATTTTGCTTGTTGTCTTTATTGTTTATTTTCGGATCATTGAGTCCTATCGAATGCTGTTAGACAGGTATTAAAGTGTTAATACTGTCTAGATTTGTCTTTCTACTGCTATCTTAATTATGTCCTTGAGTTTAAGTTATAACTTGGTAGTATGCTGACGGAAGATATTGTCTATTAACTCAAAATAATTTAAATTTTTTTTTTTGTGACAATATCAATTTTTCACCAAAATGGGCTTAACATTATCAAGTGTTTTGGCACGTCTATATGGAAAGAAGCAAATGAGAATTCTTATGGTTGGATTGGATGCTGCTGGAAAAACAACCATTTTATATAAATTTAAGTTAGGTGAAATAGTTACTACAATTCCTACCATAGGCTTCAATGTTGAAACTGTTGAATACAAAAATATTTGCTTCACAGTTTGGGATGTTGGTGGACAAGATAAAATAAGACCGCTATGGAGACATTACTTTCAGAACACGCAAGGATTAATATTTGTTGTTGACTCCAATGATCGGGAAAGAATTCAAGAAGCAGAAAGAGAACTTCAAAACATGTTGCAGGAAGATGAACTTCGAGATGCAGTTTTGCTTGTTTATGCTAATAAACAAGATCTTCCCAATGCAATGAACCCATCAGAACTCACCGATAAGTTGGGTTTGAAGCAGCTTAGAAATCGTCAATGGTTCATTCAAGCTTCATGTGCTACTCAAGGACATGGTCTAACCGAAGGTTTAGATTGGCTTTCGAATGAGCTGGCAAAGAGATCTTAAAAGCCAAATAAAAAATAAGTACTGATCTTAAGAGAAGATTTTGAAGTTGAAACATTTTAAATTTCACCTATGTAAAGTCAAAAGTGTGTAGTGACAAAGTTAGTCAAGAAACTTGGTTAAAAGAAGGATTGACATTCCAACTATCAATATCCAAAGCATATGATTAAGTATTACAAATAAAATGTAAGATTTGGTACTGATATTTTGGTAATTAACAAACTAATGGTTTATTGGTAATTAACCATATTTTCAATAAAACTAATATACAAAGTTCTTTATATGAATTTTTGTCATTTTACAGTTAACTTATATATTTGCCTTCAGCTTTGTATGATTATGCATGAATTTGTATTTTGTTTCCTCTTTTAAGTAACTGATTGTTATTGGTTTACATTTCCATATGTCAACCGAGTTTATCATGATTTTATTGTTAGTATACTTCATTCCTTCTTTGTGTGGATTTTATTATTAGGGAAGTGACTGATAATATTTGCATCAAACTTTTTCATTACGATTCATTTTCTCTAAAAATGAATTAATATGGCATACAATTGCATTTGAGTACTATTTGTATGTATTATAAATACTTAAATTATATGGAGATATATATTAGTCCAGCTATAGTGTTATGTATGTGTTTACACTAATAAAATACTTATATATGTATATAGTATTACTTCATAGCCTCATAATAATGGTTTCTCCTGCATACTATAGTGAGTCATTTCGAAAAATTAAGTGTTCAGTAGATCAATCAATCAATTTTGAATATTTAATGTTCAGAATAGCTATTCTCTTTTTTAAAATTAATATTCTCATGTAAATGCCTTGTATGAATTTAACCCTATTGTATTTTGTACAATCATTAGGTTTTTTTTTTTCTTTTTTGTTTGACGTTTTAAACGTCTGACTAGGACTGATAATAACATATGAAGGGGTTAGAATAACAATAGCGGAAGTCAATTTTGCTTTTTGACAAGCAATAATTAACTTTGTTAATGTACTTTAATGATATATTGTATTATACATAGATTATTTAAGTACACAATATGCATTTAATGCTACATGTATAACATTTGTATATCATTGAATGGCATTTCCTAAATTTTAACTTTCTGAACAAAAACAAAATCCTAACCCCTTCATGTGCAAATATTATATTTTATCTTTTTAATTAAACTTTCTTATTTCTGAATTTGAATTATGTACAATAATGAATCTATATTAAAATGAATGTTAATGTTTAAACAAACAATTAAATTGAAGTATTCTCTTGAATAATTTGTCCAATTGAAATTAATCATTTTAATTCAATTCTAATTAAAATTATTTAATTATGATGAGTTTTGTAATAATGAGTAAGTGATAGGACCATATTATCATCTTTAACTGTGACAGGATAGGTTCTTTTTGATATAATTCTTTATTATGGTTCAGTAATTAAACGAAAATGAAATTTAATTAAATATCTACTATTTTAACCACAAGAATTTGAGGAATTTAGAGGAAACTAGATGTACTGTATTTGTGCTTAAAACATTTTCTTTAGATCGTTAATATTTATGAGCAATAATAAATTCAGTTTAAACCAACAACGACCAACCACAATGATATGTTCGTGATAATGCCTTTTCTTTTTTTTTTTGTAGTGTTTTTGAAGGAAGTTTGAAGAAAAAAAAATAGAATTAAAGACCTACCAAAAGTAATTCTTGTATTTATTTCAGAATACATTTATAAACAATGGGTTCTTTCAATTCTTTTTAAAGAACCACATATAATGAAATTAAATTATTCAAACAAAGGATTATGTGTTGTGAATTTAATGAATTTTGTTGAGTAATATTTTTATTATCTGATAAATTTATCTTCCTATTTTCACATTTTTTTTTGTTCATCACTTATAAATGATACATCATTTATATATGAGTGGTTTCTTTTAAAAATCTGTCGTTTTTAGAAGGTAAAAAAGAAGCCAGTTTTTGTAACTCAAGTTCAATTTAAACCAGTTCTAATAATTTATTTATTTAAATGATAGCAACATCTTTTGGGATGTTAATTTGGGTAAAAGCAGCAGTAGCTGACATGTTTAGGAAATTTCTTTGAACTTTTAGGTATAAAAACTTAAATATGGATGTTACTGTATTTTTCTTGGATTCATCTTATAGATCCATTTCTCAGTTTGCCGTGGCACATTTAAAATCCATGAAATATCCATTTAAATTTTAAAATTAGGGGAATATTTTTGTCATACCCCGGTAGCTAACATTGTTTGATTTGCAATGTTTCTATAGCTGACAGGGATGAGAACAAGGATGTAATTATTTTAAATTATGTGTTGAAATTTCATACTCTTCATTTTAATATTAACAAAAATTATCTTTAACTTATAATTAAATCAACTTCTTGCATTTTACAATTTAAATTTATCGGTAAATGCTGGAAACTATCAAGAACTTGTTCTTGACAATAGGAAAACCAATTATTTTTTTAACGAGAGAGCGGTGGAACAGTGCACAAGTCGAAAAATATACTGTTTATTTTTTTATTGGATTGCTATCGCAAAATAATTATATTTCTCTATTAAGTATATTTAGAGAAGAACAGGAAAAGAACTTTTGCACTAATACTCTGTACTCTTTTTTTAAAGAAATTTATTTACTTTCAAACAAATAATCAGTTGAGGAGAGATTATTACTTTTAAATAGTTTCTGTTGCTTTCTAGTGACTTATTACAAAAGATTAGCTTAACAGGGCATTAAAAAGTAACTGTAGTCACAGGGCACCGCCAATAGATATCAATATTTCTTGTAATATCATATTTTATGTCATTAATATGATTGTAAGTATTAAATTTTTAAAAAGATACATCAATATTCTTGAAAAATAACAATAGTGGATCACTTGATTGAAAGAGAAACATTTTTTGAATTAAATCACTGAAAGATTAATTTCATCTCTCATCATTTTATTTTCATATTGATGAAACCATATGAGTTAGCTTCATATTAAAAGCGGACATCTGTCATTTTAAAAAAGTGGAGAAAAGTCAGTTTTTATTTTTATAGGTTCAGTTTTTATAAATTTTATAGATTCTATTATTATTTTTTTTTTAATTTTGGTTATTACTGAATGCTGATTTTGGTACACATAAATCTGTCTACTAAATAAATAAATGTAAAAACATACAAAAATTAAAATGTAATAGTAAAAATTAATAAATGTAAAAATATAAGGAATTGAAATGATATTTTAGTTGTTTCATCATTTTTCCATCCACCTAAAAATAAATTATATATATATATATATCATATAATAAAAGTGTTTGAAATTCACAATAAATGTAAGTGCAATAATAAAATTTATAACCATACTGTACTGTGTTTCAATGCGGAACTTTTTTAGGTAAGAAAAAAATTTTTAATACAAAGAAATATATAATTGAAATTCCGCCATTGGGTTCCTTTTTTTAGTAATAATATAATTTAATTTTTATGATAATTTTCAGAAATGAGCAAATAGGCAAAAAAAACAAAGTTCTGGAATTGCCGCTTTGATTTTGCTTTACTATATGCGGCCGGGAAGGCATATGTCAGGTTTATTAAAAGGTTAAAATACATTTTTGAAAGCTAAGATCATGCGGTACAAACTAAATAATGTACTAACAATTATTTAGTTAGCCTATGTTTTGACCTAGTCTTAGGTCTTCATCAGGGTTGAAAGAAAAAGTTAAAAGCAAAAAAATGTTAATTTGTATAAGGTACAAATAAAATAAAATTATTTAGTGTTAAATTAGCACAAGAGATCAAATACATACAGATCCTCCATAGTATGGTGTAAAAAATTACTAGTAGTAAACCAAATGATCATAAACAGAGTAAAATTAAAGGTGCATAGATACAAATACAAACAGTAAAAAATGAAATATAATTGAATTGAAGCTAATTTTAAAATTGATAGAAATATGTAATGTATTATATTCAGTGGCAACTCAAAAGTATTTGCACTAGCATATATTTGGTGTCAAAATTTTATTACAAGAAGTTTTTAAAAAGATGAAACTTTTACTTCTAAATAAATTTATTTAGATAATAAAAATAAACCTCTGGTTGAGAATAAACTAAATCTTTCAGAAGTATTTGCACATATATATGTTTTTAATATTTGTTATGGAGTCTGTTAGTATTTATTACTGTTTATTGCCTTTGAAACATTAAGTAAACTAGGTTTTTTAATAAATTTTGATCAATTTGTTCCCACTCATAAGTAACATTTCTTGTAATTGATTTTAACCAGAAATTTTATGTTTCCGAATTTTCAAGTCTAGATGACACCAAATATGCTCAATTATATTTAAATTCTCCAGATTTAAACAGATATAAATATACTGAGGTTGAGTTGTCTGGGTGCATTTTATAAAAGCCATTCTTTTGTTTTATGGGCAATGTGTTTGGGATCATAATTCTGTTGAAATATAAAATTATGTCAAATCCCTGTTTAGATAATAAATTAAATGCTAACTTTTTGCTACACAAATATTTTTTCAAAACGAATTATGCTATAAAATATTTACATATTTTTGAGCTGTAAGTGTATCATGAATAACAAAGTTTCCCACACTATAGTAAGAAACACATCCGCAGACCATTAAATACATTTCCTTTTCCATGTTTAACTGTCAGAAGTAAATTTCTTTTATTTACATCAATGTAATTCATGATTTATCCTTTACCAAATGTATTTTTTCCCCCATCACTGCCAAATATATTAAAATTGCTTTCATCACTAAAAATAAAATTTTTCCATAAGATAATAGGCTTATCTATATATTTTTTAGCAAATGTAAGACATTTCCGTCTGTTAAGCTCAGAAATGGATGACTTCTTTCATGGAATGTTCTCATGAAAGTTTTTCTGATAAAGGTTCTTTTAAGAAAAGAAACACTCATCTGCTTCTGAGACATTGAAGTGACGTTTTCAGCAAGTTGCCAGCAGCTAATAGAGGGGTTCTTTTTAACTTGTTTTTAGGATGTCATGTTACTCCTTTTCAGTCAAATCTCGTTGTCTTCCAGACTGAGATTTATTATGGGTATTATTTGTCTCATTATATCTTTTTATAATACATCACAGTGTAAAGAAGCTCATATTTAATATTTTTCTGATCTCACAATATGTTTTTCTCAAATTTCTGTTTAAAATAACTTTTTCTCGCACTGCTTGAGATATTTCACCCTTCTTTGGAGACATGGTTGCGGTTAGCTCGATTAATATCCTATTTTAGAATTAGACTAATTAACATGGGCCTCTACTTTGGGCTTTATATCCCAATATATAAATCATAATCCATAATCTGAAGGCAAAAATATTGGTTGTAGAAATACTTTTAGTTTCCACTGTTTACTGGTATTCTATAATATGCATTATTAGTGTAATGTATTAACTTCCTTTTTTTCAATTATTTATTCCATTTTTTTTTTCAGAGTAATAAATTATGCTAATGATATATAATTATTATTATTTGTATATTCTACAAGTATGTATAATGCATTGTATTTCTATCAATTTTAGAATTCACTTATGTTTCATATTTTATTGTTTCTATTTCAAAGTTGTATTTTATGTTGCTCTGATGATACCCTCACTTGTCATTTTTCACCCCATACTATGGCTCTTTATCTGGTATCTAGTACTAATTTAACATCAACTTATATTTTATTTTTATACTTTGTACCAAATAACAATAATATTTTTTAGTTAGTATCTTGTTCTTTTAGCCCTGATGAAGACCTATGACTTAGGTCATAATGTTGGCTAACCAAGTAAACGTTATTTAGAATGTGACAGTTGACCTGTCCAAATTCT